TTCTTAGAAAGGCTAATTGCAAAAACATTGTTAACTAGGAATGAGACAGCCTCACCCTCATTGTTTCCCAGCACCTCCAATAGATTCATAAGTCACACGGCTTGACATACACATAACGAAGCAACAATGTACTCGGCCCCACAAGATGAGAGTGAAACTATCGGTTCCTTTTTCAAACACCATGAGATTGGTGTTGCACCGAACATAAATATGTATCCAGCTATAGACTTTCAATCATCTTTATCTCCGTGCTAATTGGAATTGATAAAATTGAGCAAATTTCATTTTATGCTCGTATTCACTACAGGAAAGAGAATGTTGCAGCAAATAGAATCTTTGACGTATAATAGGATCCTCTTGAGTGCTTCCAAGTGAGAAACCTTCTGTCTCCCCATGAATCTACTCATAATACCGACGCTAAACACCAAGTCTAATTGTGTATTTCATAAGTAACACAAGGATCCAATCAATATCCTATATTGAGTTAGATCAACATTTTGCTCGTTCTCATTCTTAGGCCACTACGACCTTGGTTCAGCTGGAGAAACGACATCATTTCAATGCTCCATTTAAAACTTCTTCAATATCTCAAGAGCATATCTTCTTTAGTGCATGAGCAGTCCTCTTTTGGACTTGTGGAACTCAATACCAGGGAAGTATGTCATGAGACCAAGGTCGGTCATCTGAAACTCTTTCATAAGTCCACTATTGAACTTTGAAATACACTTTCTGTTGCTACTTATGATCAATAAGTGATTTATATATAGACAAAAGATAATTACTCCTTCACTCGTATCCGTCTTCACATACACTCCATGTTCGGATACACATTTCTTGAAGTCAACATCCTTTAGGAAACCATCAATTCTTTTATTTCAAGCTCTTGGAGCTTACTTCAAACCATATAAAGTTTTCTTCAACTTGTAGAACTTCAACTCTTGGTCTTTCACAACATAACTAGGGGATGTCCTTCATATACCACCTCTTCAAGCGGTATGTTCAAAAACATGGATTTAACGTCCATTTGGTAGATATTCCAATTATGGTTATTTGCAATACCGACAACAAGCCTAATTGTTTCAATCCTAGCAACCGATGCAAATATCTCTTTAAATTCTATGCTTTCTCTTTGCGAAAATCCCTTAGACACCAATTGAGCCTTATGCATGATTATCTCACCCTTGGGATTTGACTTTACTTTAGAAACCCACTTCAAAACAATTTACTTTTTTCCTTTTGGTAGATAAACTAACTCCCAAGTATTGTTCTTCTAAATGGATTGCAGCTCCTCCTTCATAGCACGAATCCACTTTGGATCAATTAAGGTCTCGTCCGTATTAACGGGTTCAGATTCGGCCTAAGTGAAAAATGCACGAAATCACCATCATCATTGACTTTGTTGTCTCATAATAGATCACAGTCTTGGAGTATTTAAGGCATACCCCTTTGCCTTGTTGACCTTCTGACATTTGCTTCATTTATGGCTTCGACAATAGGGTGTTCTACTCTTCCACTTTCTTTAGAACTAAAAATTTCAAAGTTGTAATCGGTTGTAACTTTATAAGAACCGATTAGCATCTACTGATAACTGGTTACACCCTACTGCACTTGCTTCAAGTCATCAATGACAACATCCCTACCGATCACAATCCTCATGTTTACAACATCAAACAGTTTGTAACCACCGGCAGAGTGATATCTAACAAGCATCATCACTTCTCCCTTGTCATCCAACTTCTTTCTAAGCTGTCCTGAAATATGTCAATATGAAACGGAACTAGAGACTCTCAAATGGTTCATATTCTATTTGAATCTCGAACATGCTTCCTCCGGTGTCACATTCTTTAGTTTCTTTGTAGGGAACCTATTCAACAAATAGGCAGTTGTGTATACCGTTTCTCCCTATAACTCTTTCGAAAAGTTCTTCCCTTTCAATATGCTTCTCACCATAATCATGATCGATCGATTCCTTCTTTCGAATACACCATTTTTTGTGGTGTATAGGGTGGTAATCCCACATGTACAATCCATTCTTGATCATAAAACCTCCCAAAGTCATTTGAGACATATTCGCCTCCACCATCCCTTTTGAGTACTTTGAGCTTGTGACCAATTTGCTTCTCAACTATGGACTTGAACTTCTTGAACACTTCAAGTACCTCATCCATTCTGTTGATTAGGTATGTCCATATCTTTCTACTATGATTATCGATAAATGTGATAAAATACATATTGTCACTAATAGAATCTACTTGCATCGGCCCACGCACACCTAAATACACCACCTCAAGGTGATTCTTGCTTCTCCGGTATGAAACCTTGCTGAATTTCCCCCCTTTTTTTTTTGCCTGCACACATTCTTCACAAATTTCAGCTTATATGTTGATTGGCGGTAGCCCCGTTACCATTCCATTCTTATACAAGTCTCTAAGATCTCTAAAGTTAAGATGCCCAAGATGATGGTGTCATATCCACTCCTCACGACTTGCTGCAATAGCAAGACATATATGCTTCATAACCTTCAACTCAACCTTGAAGGTTCTATTGGCAGCCATAGGCGCTTTAAGGAACAAAACTCCATTTGCATCCATAATGTGTAATCCCTTATTTTCCATGTGAATCTTGTAACCCTTCTTAAGTAATTGGCCAATAATTAGAAGGTTACATTTTATTCCCTAAATATATAAGATATCTTTGATCAAGGAATTTCCAACATCCATTCTCATTATCAAAACATCATTGATCCCATCAGTCACTAGAGTGGTGTATGCGAACTTTAATTTGTTCTTCATTGCATAATTAATTTTGACAAACCAATCCTTCCTCCCCGTCATATGAGTTGAACAACCTGAGTCCAAATACCACCCTTCAATGCATTAAACTCCTTTAAAACTCATCATTGTGTCTTCCTCTTCATGCAATTGGTTAACTGCATCATTCCATAGGTTAACTACATCATTCAATCGGTCACTACTTAATTTTTTAGAATTCTTTGATTTGTTGCAGTTGTTATCCCGCAAATATTTTCTTCCACAATCCCCTTCCGTGATCATGACCAAGAGTGTATTCTATTCACCAAACTCTTGTCTTGCAACCTTGGTTTCATCCCCTTGAGATTCCTTCTTATTCAAATTGTACTCTTTTGCAAAATGACCAAATCTTTGACACTTGTAGAACTGCTCCTTGCTCTTGTCAAACCTCTTCTTATCACCTCTAAAGTTTCCTTGACCACAATTTTTGTTGCAGTTGTTCTCACCTCTTTGACAAGTCAAATTCTTTAAATTTTGAGACTCTCTTCCACCAAAATTCTGAAAATGCCCTTTGCTCTTCATTTTCCTTTTTCCTTTTGATCTATTTGTCCTTCTCATTGAAACGAGCATGTAAGAAAATCTCGGTTTTTGCCTTATTGTTATTTCTCTTCTCCATCCTTTGCTCATAAGCCTCAATAGATCTTCGGAACTCCTCTTTGCTCATCATATCAAGATTTTCCGATTCCTCAATCGCCACAACTATATTGTCAAATCTTAGTTTTAAAGAACACAATATTCTAGTGACAACATACTACTCTGTAACAGTTTTTCAATATGCCTTCACTTGACTCACCAACCAAGTGATTCTCGTTGCAAAATCATTGATTGTCTCATTTTCTTCCATTTGAATCAATTTGAGCTGACGTTTGTGAGTTTGTAACCTCGCCACATTTGCCTTGTCAGTCCTGCATAAGTCTTGTCTAAGATCTCTCATGTTTGCTTTTATGATTCACAATCACCAACTTTCTTTAAGTTGTCGCCATCAACACATTGATGGATCAAGAACACCGATTCGAAATCTTTCTTCTTCTCTTCCTTATGTGTTGTTTATTGCGTCTCTGCTGCATCTTGGACAAGAGGAGTAACATCATTCTTGATTACTTCAAGAACATCTTGGTAGCCAAACAACACCTTCATTTGCTTGCATCATTTTACGTAATTCTTCGCAACAAGGATATGAAGGTTTGTAGGGATTTTTTTTATTAGAGACAAAACTCATGTTGCACACTAGGTGTTTGTGGATCAGAAACAGACTCTTGATGCCAAAAGTTGGAACAAGAAACCATAAGTTTGGTGAACAATGGTGAGAGACTTTGGATGTGGAGAGTGAAAGAAGAAAAATGAGAGAGAGAGAGAGAGAGAGAGAGAGAGAGAGAGATTATGATTGGATTTACCTAAGATGACAATGCATCCTATATATTTATACAAGGTTACAAAGTGATTGGGAATAAAAAACAACCAACTAACATAACAAAAAAAATCCAATAGTCGAACTCGTAATTGGTTACACAATTTTGTTAACCGGTTATACCTGATATGGGAAAACAAAATCCATTCAGTGATAACAAATTAACACAATAAGTTAACTGGTTACAACAACGAAATAAGTTATTTTCCACTACTTAGAAGCGCTTTTGACCTTATTGTAACCGATTACCCAACACATAAATTATTGAATAGTTTTCAACATTATACTTATTTAAAAAATGTATTTAGTTGTGTTTTAAAGAGATGATTTTTGATCGATTCTTTAAAAATTATATAAAAAATAATAATTAAAAAAATAGGAATAAGATAGAATAATAAATACCTAAGGATATTATAGAAAAAGAAACATTAATTATTTATTGACTTTTTAAAGTAATTTGTAATTTATTAGAATAGTTTATTATTTGCAGAAGTGACAGATAATAAAAATGCTTGATAATATTACTAAAAAATATTATTAAAGAAAATAATTAATCTTATATTAAAAAAATGAAAAATCTGTCATTTTGATTGATTTATATTTTGAAAACATGAGTTGTGGTATATTTCTACCATTTGTAGTGCTGAATAAAATATATGGCAATGACAATAGTAAGTCAAATGTTTTCTAGCTTTGAACCAAATTTATTAGATCTGTTTACGTAACTTAGTTATTATAAACAAACGTTGTGATTTTAGTCAAACAAACTTCCATGTTTTCAGGGTTAAAAAATCCAAGCAGATTGGATACTCTTGCTCTAGATGGCAATATGATTAACGGAAGCAATTTACATAAATCGTTGCTGGCTTTCCCTTTGATTAGGAATCTTACTTTGACAGCCACTGAGTTTAAAGGAACAACTCGTGCTGGAGGTAATAGCACATCTTATCTAATTTACTCACTATATTAAAATAAAGATGGTTTAAGCTTTCAAATTGCAGTTTTGATCTCTTTATTAATATTTTATTTATTTTAGTTTTTTTATTTTCAAATTTGAAATTTTAATTCTTTTATTTTGATTTTTTTGACGATTTTAGTTTCTCTGCAATTTTTACTATCATGATGCTCACTTTATTGACGTGGCAGTGCCAATTCAGTGGTTGAATGTTCTAAGTCTGTAATGAAAACATAATATAGACATGTGACATGTTAGCAAAGTACCCGACATGTTATTAAAATTTGTCCTAACGTTTGCAGGGGAATTAAAATTCTAAAAAAAGAAAAAACTAAAAAAAAATTTAAAATTGTAGATTTACATTGTAATGTTTTTAAAATTACAATTATGATTATCGCCCATTATATCAAACACGTTGAGTGTAGTTTGTACAACATTACATTTATATTCTTTTTTTTTCAGTTGTCTTGTTTTTTTCTTTCAATTTTCTGTGCAATGTAGAATCATCTTACAATCAATGAATGGTTGTTTCACATGAGTAAAGGGTGAAGATTAAGAGACGTGATTAATCAGAAAAATAAATTCTTATTCATCAAGATTGATTTGATTAACTTCAAGATTTGAATTTTTTCCAACATTATAAAGGCAAAATTGGATCTTAATATTTGAAAATTAAGCTCATTCTGAGTGCATTTGAGTATTTTACACTAGAGAAATTAAACTATTGATAATAAAATAAAGCTGAACATTAAATTGAACTAATTCAATAGTGTTGGAAATTCAACCACAACCTATGAAGAATTTCACTCTATCAATCTTGATCTCAAGATTGTTACCACTCAGATAATGACAATGAATGATTTAGAAAGAAAGAAAGAAAGAAAGTATGTGTTGGAGAAGAAGAAGATGAATAATTTACTGCAAAGAACTCTCTGCCCACAAACTGTGAAAAATCTGTTATTTCACTTGCAACTGCAAACTGTGAATTACAAAATATATTGAGTTCCTATACAAAATAAGAGTTTCTCTCTATTTATAGATTTAGGTTTTCTTACACCCCAAGACAAAGTCCAAAACTATAAAAGCCAAAAATAGCAAACATTACTAAAATAGGCCTAAGTCGAAATCCTTTGTGAAGCAACATGCTTCGACACTTCAACACACTAAGAAACTCGACACACTGACACATTTGGCTAATTTGACTAATCCTTATTTATGTCGAGTTACACTGTTTCGACCCAAGGAATTACAAACTCAATACACCACCTAATTCATTGTATCTAAGTTATCTACATTCATCATAAACCTTAGCCTTCTGAACACTTCGACTGACACTCCCTTCGTCATGATGTCTGCAATCTGATTCTCAGTTATGCAGTGCTCTAAATTCATCTTCCCTTCTGCTACCTCCTCTCGAAGATAATGGAACCTCATTTCGGTGTGCTTGCTTCGACTGTGTGCTATTGGATTATTCGCCAAGTTGATAGTTGACATGTTGTCGATCTTCATGGTAATTGCTCCATGACTCTTCGTTGTGATCTCTTCGACCAGGTTCACCATCCAGATTTCTTGACATACACAAATAGAAGCAACTATATATTCTGCTTCGCATGATGATAATGCCACTACTGACTCCTTTTTCGAACTCCAAGTAACTGGTGCACCACCTAACATAAACACATAGCCAGCAGTGGGTTTTCTATCCTTAGCATCATTACACCAACTAGAGTCGGTGTATCCCACTAACTTGCATTCTTTTCCTTCATCAACTGCAGGAAACAAAATTTCGTAGTCCAGAGTCCCTTTCAGACACCTCAGTATTCTCTTCGTCAGTGCTAGGTGTGATACCTATGAGTTCTGCATGAATCTACTTATCATACCCACAATGTATGTTAAGTCAGGCCTTGTGTAACAAAGGTATCAAAGTGACCTAATAAGTCTTCTATATTGGGTTGAATCGACATCATCTTCATTTGAATCCTTCGACAGTTGCAATATTGTCTCAGCTGGAGTCGAAGTTGGGTTTCAATCTTTCATCTCAAATTTCTTGAGTATTTCGCATGCATATCTTCTTTGGTGCATCATCAAACCTCTACTACTATTGTAGAATTCAATGGCAAGGAAACATGAGAGATTTTCCAAGTCTGATATTTCAAACTCCTCACTCAAGTTATGTTTGAAGTCTTCGATCTCCTGCTTGCAACTTCCTGTTATCAACAGGTCATCGACATAGAGGCATAGTATAAGCAGTTCACTATTGCTTCTTCTTACATGCACTCCATGCTCATTCGTGCACTTCACAAATTCCTTTTCCCTTAAGAAGCTGGTGATTTTCTTATTCCAAGCTCTTAGAGCTTGCTTAAGTCCATACAGGGCTTTATGCAACATGTACACGTTTCTTTCTTCACCTCGTTTCACAAACCCAGCTCGTTGTGCAACATAAACTTCTTTGTCTAAGGGACCATACAGGAATGCACACTTCACGTCCATCTGGCACGTGTGCCAATTGTTCATATTTACTAGACCAACAACCAATATGATTGTTTTAATCATAGCAACAAGTGCAAAAACTTTGTCAAAGTCGATTCCTTCCTTCCTTCCGAAATCCTTTGGCCACAAGTCTCGCCTTGTGTCGAGTTACTTCTTCTTTAGGATTCACCTTCACCTAGTAAACTCACTTCACATCAATTATCTTCTTACCTTGAGCCAAATCGACAAATGACCAAGTGTTGTTGACTTCGATGGAGTCTAACTCCTCATTCATTGCTTTCACCCACTTCGATTCTTTCAATGCCTCAGCTACATTGACTGGTTCGATATTTGCGTAGAAAGCATAATGTACCAACTCACCTTCTTCATTGACCATATCATCTGATGTAATCACACATTCTTGCAACCTTGCAGGCATGTGTCTTGTTCGTCGAGGTCTACTTGGGCCAGTTTCATCTCTGACTTGTCCATGTCGAACTTCTCTTTCGACTTCAGTAGTTGGTTCTTCACAAAAGATTCTCATTGAATCATTCTTGACATTCTCAGCCCAATCTCATTTTCTAAGCTCATCTATGATCACGTACATGTTGATCAATACCTGCTTATTCACTAGGTCGAACAACTTGTAACCTCTAGCCGAATGATATCCTATCAAGATCATCTGATTCGACTTGTCATCAAGCTTCCTTCTCGACTGAACTAACACATGTCTATGGGCTATTTATTCAAACACATTTAAGTGACTGAGGCTAGACTTGACACCAGACCAAAATTCTTCTGGTGTGATTCCTTCAAGCTTCTTCGTTGGACATCTGTTTAATATGTATGCTGTTGTCAAAACCGTTTCTCCCGATAGTTTTTTGGGTAGATGCTTTCTATTCAACATACTTCTCACCATGTTCATGATGGTTCCGTTCTTTCATACTACAATTCCATTTTGCTGTGGAGTGTAGGGTGACACCACCTCATGCACAATCCATTCTTTTTCACATAATACATCGAACTCTTTTGACACATACTCTCCGCCACTATCAGTCCTCAAAATTTTCAACTTTTGACCACTCTATCTTTTGACCATAGATTTGAATCTACCAAATACCTCGATCACATCACTTTTATTCTTGATGAGGTAAGTCCATAGCTTTCAACTGTAATCATCTATGAATGTGACAAAGTATCTATTGCCTGCAATCGGATCCACCGAATTAGACCACATACATCAGAGTATATGACTTCATGAATTGCCTTCAATTTCCTTCCCACATCCTTGCTGAAACTATTGTTGTGTTGTTTCGATAGAACACACTCTTCACAGACTTCACTTGGAGTGTCAATTTCAAGTAATCCTGACGCTAATTTCTTCTTTTTAGCTCTCTGATGTCATTGAAGTTGAGATGACCTAGTCGAAAATTCCATAACCATTCATCTTTGCTGGCTACAGCTGCTAGGCACTTGTGCTCCATCACATTGAGTTCAATATTGAAGTCATATCTGAGACATTGGAGCCTTTAAGATCAACCTACCACCTGTGTCGATAACTCTCATCATCTTGTCTTTGATCGACACCTTGTAGTTCTTTTCGACTAGCTGTCCTATACTAAGAAAATTACTCTTCATATCTGGTATGTACAACACATTGAAAATTGTTGACCTCTTGCCATCTTTCCTCATAATAAAAACATTGAAAATACCTTCAACTTCTATAGTATTGTCATTTGCAAATTTCACCATACTCTTCGACGAGGGCTTCATGTTGACAAACCAATCTTTTCTTCCAGTCATGCGTGATGAGCATCCTGAGTCCAAGTACCATTGGTTCTGGAATCTCTCTTCGTCTCTTGTTGTGACCATTAGCAACATCACTTCTTCTTCATGCTTCTCCATCTTTGCATCAGTTTCTTGTTTCTTTTTCTTTTCCCGACATTCACTAAAATAGTAGCCATACTTCTAACAATTGAAACACTGAATGTGACTTTTGTCAGACTTTCGTCCACCGTCTCTTCCTTTACCTGCAGCATCAACACTTTAGTTGCATTAGTTCTAGGGTCTTCTCTTATTCGACCAGTTTCCTTCCTATTGATTTCGACTAGTCAAATTGTTGTAGCCTCTTCTACCTTTATTTTCATTTCAGCTTCCTTTATCTTTTCTTTCCTTTTCTGACTGCGCCTGCAAAGCCATATCACTCTTCGACTTTCCTAAAGCTCTCTCAGCCATCCTTTTTTCATAAGACTCAAGCGTCCCTTGGAACTCATCCTTCGTCAATACTAACAAGTCTTTCAACTCTTCAATGGCTACTACCACATGAACGAACTATGGAGCCAACAACCTCAAGATCTTTGCAACAACTGATCTTGATGTTAACACTTCTCCACATATCTTAATTTAATTCATCAGCTTTGTAACTCTAGTGAAAAAATCTGCTATACTTTCACTTTCTTCCATCTGAAGTAATTCATAGGTTCTCTTGTGAGTGTATAACCTTATATCTTTCACCTTTTCTGCGCCTCTAAACGATTTTTCAAGAATCGCCCACGCTTCCTTCACTGATTCTACATCACTAACTTTTTCAAAATCATTTGGATCCACACATTGATGGATCATAAAGAAAGCTTTATAATCTTTCTTCTTCAATTCTTTGAATGATGCCTTTTCTTGATCCCTCGTGTTTTCTACAAGTGTTGCTACTCCTTCCTTCACAAAATCCCAAAGATATTGATAACAGAAAACCACCTTAATCTGCTTGCACCATTTCTCATGGTTATCTTTCTTGAGAGTTGGAAGGTATACGTTGGAGAAGAAGAAGATGAATAATTTGCTGCAAAGAACTCTCTGTCCATAAACTGTGAAAAATCTGTTATTTCATTTGCAATTGCAAACAGTGAATTACAAAATATAATGAGTTCCTATACAAAATAAGGGTTTCTTCCTATTTATAGATTTAGGTTTGCTTGCACCCAAAGACAAAGCTCAAAACTATAAAAATTCAAAATAACTAACATTATCTGACCTGATCAGGAGGATGGTCACGGTCTGGCCTCGTCCCGTTGGGCTGGTACCTGTCCGCCGGTATTGAGAAGAAAGGTGGGGGGTGTACCTGCAAGGAACTCCGATGCCAAAGTAAGATATTTGGGCAGAGCAGTTGCAAATACAAAGGGTAAGAAGTGAATACCTGACCCTATTGAGGAAGAGGGTATTTATAGACCCCAGCGCTGGGCCAACGATCGTTTGGGCTGGACGAGTAGGCCCAACCCAAAGGACTGCTAGGGCTGACGTGGCATCAAGAATACCAGGACGTGGTCTCTGCCCTAGTTCAACCGTTCCCTGGTTTCCGGAAAGCGCGCCTGGTCTTTCGGGAGTGGACGGTTGGGATATGACATGTCCCCGCAGGGGGGGAGGCACGTGGAGAATATGTCTTACTCACGACTGCCTGCTCGGCCGAGGAGATCCTGCTCGTGAGCGTATCTCACGGTCAGATGGAACGTGCTCGGTTCGTGTACTCGTCGGGCAGGTGGTTACTTCCCCAGCTCATAGATTTGTGTCCGACATGAGAGTCGTGCCCGGTAGTACCACGTCGTGGGGCACGTGCCCGGTGAATCACTCACGTCATGTGTGTGTCACGTGCCCAAAATGTCTTTGGGCAAATACACGGAGACGAGATTGGGCCTGGGCGGCTGACCCGAGGCCCAGTCCAGAACAATTACTAAAATAAGACTAAGTCGAAATCCAGTGTGAAGCAACCTGTTTCGACAACTAAGCAACTCAACACACTAACACATTTGACTAATTTGACTAATCTTTATTTCTGTTGAACTACACTACTTCGACACAGAATTACAAATTCAACAAATAGAACTATAGATTAGTTTCTACCGTATCTATATCTTTGTTTTTATTTTTTTAAAAATATTTCAAAGATATATTTTAAAATATATTTTTGATAAAATAAAACTATCTCACTTGAAATGCCTTTTTATGTATATCTTGAGAATAAGGAAGAGAAATTCGAATTATCAATTTGTTTCCCCTTATTTTTTTCCCTCAACTTATTATATACCATGCCTCTTTTTGTGTGTAGGTTTTCATGTTTTAAGTAACCTTGAGGTCTTGGCATTGGATGAGAGTTCAAACTTGAAAAATGAGTTTTTCAAAAGTATTGGAGACTTGCCTTCTTTAAAAGTTTTTTCTGTGTCAGGCTGTTCGATAAACGGCACTCTTCCAAGCGGAGGTATATGTCTTCATCATTTCAATAATCAGAACTACTTTTACCGCATGTATCACAAATCTTACAATTTTTTCTTCCTTAATGCTTGATTTGTTAAAATGCAGTTTTATTAGTATCTCCCTTTTAAAGTGAAAATTTTGTGTCAATCTTTCATTTTTCAGATTGGTCTAAGTTGAAGAAGTTGGAAGAGTTAGATCTATCCTCCAATAAATTTGTTGGGAAACTTCCCTCATCTTTTGCCAACATGACATCGCTTCGGACCTTGAAACTTCGTAATAATTACTTTATTGGTAATATTGGTCATAATCTTGCATCTCTTGCTTCGCTTGAATATCTTAATTTCGAAGAAAATCAGTTTGAGTTTCCTATTTCTTTCGCACCATTTTCCAATCATTCGACCCTTAAGTTCATCTATGGTAATGAGAATAAAGTCATCCTTGACTCACACTCATCTTTAAAAACATGGGTTCCCAAATTTCAATTGCAAGTTCTTCAATTATCTTCAACAGCTGAGACAAATTCCATTCCACTTCCAAACTTTCTTCTTTACCAATACAGTTTGACTGATTTGGATTTCACTAGTTGCAAACTAAATGGAGAGTTTCCAAATTGGTTAGTAGAAAACAACACAAAACTTGGAAATCTTACTCTTAGGAATTGTTCGTTTATAGGAGATTTTCAGCTTCCGTGTCGTCCTCGTCTCAACATGGCTAGAATTGATGTCTCTGATAATAATTTAACAGGCCAAATGTTGAGCAATAATATCAGTTCAATTTTTCCAAATTTGATCTATCTGAACATGTCTGGAAATGCAATCCACGGTTCAATTCCTTATGAGCTAAGTCACTTAAGCTCTTTAGATGTTTTTGATCTATCTGATAATCAATTGTCTGGTGAAATACCTTATAACTTATCTATAGTAGAGACTGAACTCACATTCTTGGGATTTTCAAACAATAATCTTCATGGATTCATACCTCCTATGTTGTTGTTAGGGTCCTATTTTTTGGAGTACTTGTTGTTGGACGGTAATAGCCTTTCTGGTAAGATCCCATTTAATTGTTCTGACTCAAATGAATTCCTTTGTTTGGACATAAGCTATAATGAATTCGTTGGAAATATTCCAAGCCAGATAATAAATTCTACTGTATTGATTGAGCTTTCAATGTCCAATAATAATTTTGAAGGATCTATCCCATCAGTGTATCCAGAGTATGGTAGGCTTACTTTTCTAGATCTTTCACAAAACAGTTTGGTTGGTTGTGTCCCATCTTCTGTAATGTTTTCTGTCAGCTTTGTCCATTTAAGCAACAACAAATTAAGTTGTTTGCCCATGGTCGGATCCAAAAGTAATTCTCCCTTAGTGACACTAGACATTAGCAACAATGAAATAAAAGATGGAATTCATGGTCTAATTCACGACCTCCTCAGTTTTACAGAATTAGAAATTCTACTTATAAAAGGTAATCACTTTACAGGGAATATACCAAAGGAGATATGCCGCCTAACAAGTTTGCATATACTAGATATTTCTTATAACAATTTTGTTGGGGAAATACCCAGTTGTTTTGGTAAAATGCCTTTTGAGAACAAAAATCCTGAGGAGTCAAGGGATCAATTCAATAGTATCTATTCCAGTCATGGATATGTTTATAATCGGCTTCGAAAAGAGAAAGAAAAGTTTACTTCAAAGAATAGATTAGAAACTTATACAACAAGTATCCTTATTTATATGTCTGGAATTGACTTATCTCATAATAAACTAAATGGAAGTATTCCATCTGAGCTTGGAAACTTGACAAGAATTCGGGCATTGAACTTGTCCAACAATTTTTTCTCCGGGAAAATTCCGGCTTCATTCTCCAATTTGGTCCAAGTGGAGAGTTTAGATCTTTCTTTCAACATGTTGAGTGGTCAAATTCCTCCTCAACTAAGTAGATTGACTTCCCTTGAAGTATTCAGTGTTGCACACAACAATTTATCAGGCACGACACCGGAAAGGAAAGGACAATTTATTACCTTTGATGAAAGCAGCTATGAGGGTAATGAATTTCTGTGTGGACCTCCACTGCCAAAAAGTTGCAATCCTGCTACATTACCAAATGGCTTGAACAAGGATGGAGATAATGATAGTTGGGTGGACATGTATGTTTTCCGCGTGAGCTTTGTTGTGGCATACACATCAGTATTGTTGCTAATTGCAATTGTTCTGTTCATCAATCCTTATTGGAGGCAAGCATGGTTTTACTATATAGGATTGGTGAGCATGAATTGCTTCTACTTCTTCAAGGACAATTTATGTTTCTTTTAGTATTATAAATGTATAATATGTCAGGTTGTATGTTCGGAAATCCCAATATGTATTTTGTTTCTGCTGTTTGTAATTCAATAAAAAAAACATTCCATTGTTATTGTATGAACAATGTTTTAAAAGTTTACTGCCAACTCCATTTAATTTGTTTTTTTTTTGTACAAACTACTATTTCTTTAGTCGTGTTCATGAAAATACTGCTTAGCTTGGAAACAATGTTGACAAAAATTTGTAACAAATATTTTCCGGTGGTGAATCCTGACAAGAGTAAGGAGACTATTAGAATTGTGAATCACACCAAATTAAGACTTTAACTCTGTCCAAAGATTTGAATTTCCTAATCTCACCTCCAGAAGAATTAATTCAACCAAACTCAAGGAGCTTTGAACCAAATTAAGAACTTATGCCAGTGTGTCTACCATTCCAAGCTTCCATCGTACTATCATAAAGAATGGAATGATGAATGAATAAATTATCTTACGATTAGAACTAGACTTTGAACCGCATGTTGCACAAGCGGAATCAAGTTTTTAAAGGGTTTTCTGCAAAGATTCTTACTACCGCATAATACATATTGAAATGATGTTGATTTGTTTATTAATTAATGACAACAATATTTATTTATATTTTGAATTAATGTAAATTAACTATAGATATTTATAAATTAACATATTTAAAAAAATAAGCTTCATAATTGATAAGATGAATTTGTGTAAAAAGTATAAAAATATTATGCGTATAAATTTGCTTTCAACAAAGTCATAAGCCCTTTTTAAGCAAATCTATTTTTTCTTTTTAACATAGAACATCGTCATCAATAAAGTTTAAGACGTTCTTAATCTATCCCTATGAATTTTGTATAGTAAATAAGGTTAATTATGTAAGAGATCTATATAAATATGCCAACTTTCAATTATTTTCAATTATAGTTCTTCATAAAATTTTACACAAACATGATCCTTATAAAGTTTTCTATCATGAAAAATGGTTTCTTCCCTTAATTTTATCTAATAGAGGGTGATGTGACATGCCACTGGAATCTTTGTCATGGTCACGTCAGTTTGAGTTGGAAGAATTGTTTATTTATCATAAATAATAAAGGAATATAGTGTGAACCCTAATCCTTTTGTTCACCGTCTTCATCTTTTTCTTATTCCTTCATATCGTTCTTCTTCTTCTTATTCGTCTCCCTCACCCATCTCCGAAATATGTCATCTTCATCTAATTTAAGCAAAGTAGTTTCTTACTATTCGACGAGTCTGATGAACTGTAGAGTGAAAAGATGTGGATGCAATGGTGTTATGATTTCATACACGTGCAAGAACGAAAAGAACAATGGTCGATTGTTTTGGAGATGTCTGTATTGGAAAAAATGAGGGAACCTGCAATTTATTTATTTGGAATGATGAAATTGCTAAAGTCAAGGATGATGAGGAATGCGTAGATTCAGAATGGAGGAAGGACGATAGTAATGTGAGGGAAATGCAAGCTTTAGAAACTCTAAATGAGCTCTACGAATCATCCATGAGGAAGAACAAGAGGTTGAAGATGAATATTAAAGCAGAGGCATTTTGGGGGAAGCTGAAGACATTATGTGTTGTAGTTTCAGTCTTGGTCAATATGTATTTGTTAATTAGATGTAGTTGTTGATTAGGTATGATCATTTATACTGTTGCGTAAGTGGTAATCTTGTATAAGTGGTATGCTGTGAAATGTAACATGAACTGATTTTGCAATCTCGAATTTGTTTGAAATAAAAATTGAAATTTTATGTAATTCATTTAGTATTGTTCAATTGGTATGTTCAATTTGTAGTTTCATTTGTAGAACATAGTTTTGACACAACCCGACCTATAAATTGGACATAATATAAGTGTGTACAATTGAGTGTATAAAATTGGACATAGTTTTAGCTAATTAGTATTTTTCTGTATGTCTAACTAGCATATAATTGATTGTATAAAATTGACCTATTATGTGGCTTTAAAATTGATTGTATAAAATTGAAACCATATGGACTTAACAGTCAAAGAACATGAGTAGGAGAAACTGATCAAAACATAATGTTCACAGGTTCACATTGAGCATACCATAACATGTTCACAAGACAAATTTATTCTCAACAGATTTCATTAACTTAACATACCATAATAGGTTCATAAGAGTACATCAGTACAATAAACTAATCAATATAACACATAAATAACATTACATCAAAAGAACATAATTTGTTCAAAAGGTTACATCCGTACATCACATTGAGCAAAAAAAGTACATCAGTATATTACATGAAAATATTTGTTCCTAAACAAATCCATCTTCCAAAAACTAATGCTTCATTAGGTTTGACCTTTGTCAATGGTGTTGTCTTCTTCAATTAGATCCAAAAGGTCATTGGGTTTCTTCCCAGGGCCAGAAACGTTCTTTGTTTTCAAGGGCCTTAATCTTTCACTATGACATTTTTCTGATGCAACATTGGTCTGTGTCTTGTACCTGCTTTGGGTTTTAAACTTAGGTGGTTCATTTAAACTTGGTTCGAATACCAGGTGGTTTGAAAGGCTTATTCTTGCACACTTTGGGTTGTTTACCAAAGAAAACCTTGAGATTACTTCGCTTTAGTGCAGTTGCCTTGAGAGGTGATTTTTCAACCCTTAAAGGTTGAATATCCAAAACCTAATCACCTCCTAATAATGCAGCCAAAGTTTCATCCAATGAAGCACATGTAGCTTAGTCAGCTGGCTCACATGGTTCAGTTTCCATTTCATCAGTTGGATCAGTTGGCTCACATGGTTCAGTGGCAGTTGGATCAAATTCCATATCATCAGTTGGATCAATATTAGCCTTTCCCTCATTAACAGAACTCGTTCCTTCATTGGCAATTGACTTTCCCTCCTTAAAAGTTGACATTGCATCTTTGAAACTTGACTATCCCTCTTTGACACGTGACTTTGGCTCTTTGATACTTGACTTTGCCTCTTCGACAATTGACTTTCCCTCCTTGACAATTGACATTTCATCTTTGAAACTTGACTCTCCCTCTTTGAACATGACTTTGCCTCTTTGAAACTTGACTTTTCCTCTTTGGCACTTGACTTTGCCACCTCGATACATGATTTACCCTCTTTGATAGTTGACTTTACCTCCTCTACAGATGACTCTCTCTTCTTGGCACTTGATTTCCTATCAATGACATCATCTTCCTTATTGACAATTGGTTCCACATCGTTGGTTGCCTCATTAACATATGCATCTTTGACTATTCCCTCTTTCACCTTTGTCTTCTTTGTTCCTCCCTTATATGTATAATTGTTGGTAAATTCCTTAGGCCTCCCCTGCATGAAACAAACAAATACTTAACCTAGATATATAATCAGTAATGTCAGATTTAAGTTAAACAATACCCTTTTTTGTGCCAAATTGACCTTGCTAGTTTGACTTGCTTGTGTAGGTAAGTCTTGAGTGGCTTGGCTTGGAAATTCTTGACTGGGCTGGGTATGCAAGTCTTGAGTGGCCCGGATGGTATTACTTGAGGGAACAACCACAATTTTGTTTTTCTTCTTGTAGGTCCTTTTGTTGTGACCTAGTTCAAAATAAGCATTACATGTAACGCCCCGATTCTGATTTCCCATTTTTGTTGAGTCCTTTTTGATTTATTTGCGTAATTGTTATTTTTAATGTGGAATTTATGTGTTAATATGTTATATGTGCATATTGTGCTATTTTACCGATTCGGAGAGTTTCCGGGGAAATAGAGTAAAGGGTATTTTAGACATTAGTGTTTAATGATTAAGTTGGATATTTTGTGAGGTTGTGGATTAATAGACATTTTGGAGAGAAATAGAATAAAAAGAGTTATAAGAGAAAAATAGAGAGAAAGAGAAATAATAGAAACATAAGGGAAAGAAAAGGAAAGGAAAGAAGAAAGGAGAAGAGAAAAGAGGAGAAAAACCTAGAATCCATCAAGAACAACTTCCAAGCTATCGATTAATCGGGTAAGGGTGTGAAACCTTATTATTCTCTTAATGTATGTGATTATGTGTGGATTGTTTGATTTATTTGGATGTTTTGCTCACTTTCCATTCTAGGGCATAATATGGTTTAATCGATAGAAATCGAGTTTTAATCATGGAAAACGAGAATAAGTGCTATAATTTAGTCGAGGGACGTTAGGCTAAGGCTACTGGAAGAGTTGGAATGGAATCGGGTGAATTTTGAGGTTTTGGAGATGTTGAACAGTGGGATTTTCTTGTGTTCGCAGACACTCGCTAGCACCTTCGCTAGGCGAGCTGGTAGCGAATGTTCGCTAGACGAGCTAGTAGCGAGCCAGTAGCGAATGGTCCCAGACTTGGGCAGAATGGTATTGAGGTGCTTCGCTGATAGCGAATATTCGCTAGACCTTCGTTGAGCGAGTAGGATAGCGAACGAAGGCATTGGCTTATGTTTTCCTTCGTGAGCTTGTTCGCTGGGCGAACATGTAGCGAGCACTCGCTAGGAGCTCGTTAAGCGAGCAGTGTAGCGAGCGTGACAGCATGTTGTTTTCTTGTGTTTTCACTCCAATGTTGGTTCTTCGATTCAAGTATGATTGATCTTTTCTTTGAATGCATAGTCGTACGTTGTGATATGATATGCTGTGGGTAGCCGTATGGCATGAATCCTAGATTATGAATCGTGAAGTGTGAATGTGGCAGTTTGACATGTTTGGTACGAATGTGCATAAATTGTATGTGCTTGTATGAGGTGGAAATGCATGATTTTAAATATTTGCGAATATGTATGCATTTCAAGAGTGTCATGGGTCATTTTGCATGTGGAGCATCATGATTGCATTCTTGTGTTATTGATCCCACGTAGGATCTGCAGAAACCTCGTGTGCCCTTGTGGGGTGTGAGTGGTGCTTTATATTTGATCTCGAGTATGATCTGCAGAAACCTCGTATGATGCGATGGTTTATAATTGATTCCGCATAGAATCTGCAGAACGATTGTGTGCCCTTGTGGGGT